TGAGATAAATTCCACGTCTCAAACAAATCGTAGGTTTTTTTTTAGGTTTTTAAGTTAGGGTGCACAGATCAGCTTATGCGTATTTCAATTAATTTTTTTTTCAGTTCAGTTAAAGACAGATTATCCACGTCAGACTAGAAAATTCACAAAAGATAAATATCTTATAATCTGACCCCAAGAAAATTACTAAGTTTTAAACTCAAAATTTTTAGGCTACGTCTCCGCTGAACTTAAAATTCCTAAACTAGAACCAAAAAAAAAAAAAGAAAAAAGAACGTGTTTCCAAATGCCATTTAACATGGGATTTCATTTTTACTAATGAGAGGAAGACTGTGGAACCATCTGGTTATAACTGCAAGTGACATGGTCGATTCTAAAATTACAATTAGTTGAAATAATTTATGACCAATTATTAAATAATTGTACCTTTAAAAAATAAAAACGTTTTATTATGATATTTGAAAAAAGAGTCTACAGTACCAGAAAAAAAAATTCGATATCATACTATTATTACAACTTTTGTGTATATTTTTATAACTTTTGTACGATCTTAAAAATATTAGGATTGATCGCAAAACTATAACAAAAGTGATAAAAATACTCTCAAAAATTATAAAATCAACCATAAAAATTATAAATTTTTTTGTTACAAAAATTAAAAAACTCGGTACTAATTTTTTTATTTTAAGTACCGTAAACTATTTTTATTTTTTAAAATTCGGACCTGGAAATTTCGATATCGGACCTACGGGGGTTTGACCCAGCAAAAAAGTTGTCATGAAAAAACGACATGCGCCGCATATACATGACATAAAGCAAATGAAATGGTTAGTCGGGTGGACCCAATCAATTTCTCGGATCGCAAAGTACAAGTCTTATAAGAATCTTTTTTACATTATTCTTATAACAAAAAGCGTTTAATCACCGTTAAATTTGGACTAAAGATCTTCAAAAAAGCTAACGGACATTGAACCGGCAATCACTCTTTTTTTACTTTACTACTAACATCATGTCTCTTCCATGATTTAGAATGCACGCTTGGACATATCTCTCTCTCTCTCTCTCTCTCTCTCTCTCCTAGTCAAACTATTTTTGAACTTTTAAGAATAAAGCACATGATGTTGGTAGTAAAGTAAAAACATAATTTATCCGATGTAATTTATCTTATCTGTTGATTTATCCATTAAGGACCATTTGATAACATTGAATAAAAATCTTATTTTTAATTAGAGTTAAAACCCTCAACTTTTAATTCCTCACTTATTCAATTACATGATAGAATGGGGAGTAATGATATGCTTACTAAATTTTTTATTTTAAATTAATGTGAGTTGTTACATTAATGAGGTCTATTAACTTTTACAAAATATTCAATATACAGGATTTTGACACATCATTTTAGATACAGCATTTAATAAACAAATTAATCTATTGGAGTCAGGTCATAAGAGATTTATCTCTCTTGAATATTTTAATATCGACATGAATGAATTTTTTTTTTTTTTACCCTGGGCTAGCGATGCATGGAGCATCGCCTAAAAATTACAGTAGTAAACACTACTATTTATAAGCCTTTGGAGGCATTGTGTTGAAAAAATATATACCAACGTGAATGACTTACCATTGATCGAATAAAAAAAAAAAAAATCAAAATACGCGCAAACTAATCTATACATCCTGACTAGGGGTATTCAAAATTTTGATTACCCACAAATTACGACTCTATCATACCCTACTTGACTCTATTTATTGATTACTCGAAAGACTCGGGTAGATCAATTAAAAAAAATTTTGTATTCTGCAAAATTTCGGATAAAAATACAGAATAGTTAAAAATTTTTATATTTTCATCTTACTCTACCCGCACATATATATGTGTGTGTGTAAATTCCTAAAAATTAAAATCCAAAAATTTAGAAATTTTAATATTTTATTGATGTTTATGACTTTCTTATATATAATATATTGATGTTTATAATTTTCTTGTTATGTTTTATTGTAATTATTTATGTATTATTGAATTTATTGTATTTTTTGTAGTGTTATTAATTTATTGTGTCAGTTAATTAGTATATATTATTTAATTAAATTGCTAAAATAATTTAAAAATTAATAACTAAAAAAATATGTTTATCCAATTTTTTACCCAACTTTTTCTTTAATTGTTTTAGATAAAATTTGAGTAAAAATAATACACTTAATTAAATAGAATAGGTCAAAAAAAAATTTTTTTCCACAAAATATCGAAGAGATAAAAATTTTAGGGCAAATTCCAATTTACCCCCTTGTAGTTTGTGCCCTGAGCAGATGATCCCCTTATTATTTGAAAATAAACACATCACCCCTGTAGTGATGGATTAAATTGCAACTGTTAGGTTTTTGGTTAGAACAGACGAAAATGGAGAGGACGCTCTAGTTTGGCGATTGATCAACAAAGTTATCAGCTTCCCTCCAAAATAAATATACCCAAATGTAAAAAATGACCCTATGTTAACAGATGTTATACTCCTCGGCCTTCCACAAGCTCATCCTCATGACTTCCAAACCTCAACGCTTCCGTCAATATAATCTCTCTCTCTTTCTTTGAGTCAATCTTACAAAGTGCATCAAAGAAGCCAAGAATAGTGATCAGTGACCACTGAGTCCTCTTCCATAAAAGACATTTTCTCCAAATACGCTGACTGTCTCAATAACCTCTTAAAACATACTTACTATTTAATTTTCATATATTCACACTCAGTATTGGGTATGAGTTTCTATTGGATGCTTCAAATGCAAAATTATAAATGGTTTTCAAATGGGTTTTGAGATGAGTGTTGAACTGTTAATTGTAAAGAGAACTTTTGCTACAAGGCATCATCCACAATTCTGTGATAGGGTAAGCCTGTTTTCATATTCAATAACAATTTCCTAAAGTTTTTTTAGTGGGTGAGGTGTAGAGTGAAAGAAAATCAAAACTCCTTGTTTAAGTTTGAAACTTGAATTTTTGGGTATTTAAAATTTAGAGTTTCGGAGGTGAATGAGGCCTAATTCACCATTTTTAGGGTCAAGGAATCCATTTTTGAAGTTAGAATCGAGAAATAATGAGATTTGATGGGTAAAAATTTGAATTAAAAATCGTGACATATGTACATAACCTGTCAAAATGAGTTTGTGATCACCTTTGAGCTTAAATTCGTGGGTCATGGGGGCTATTTAAGGAAACAAGTCTGTTGGGTTTAAAACTAGGTTTAGAACGGAGGATATTGACATTGGTTTGAGGAATTTTGATGCTTTGTGGAGAGAGAAAAAAGCTTGTAAAGTTGAGTGATTAGTTGATTTGTTATAAAATTAGGCAACGTTTGAAAGGGGGGAAGAAGATGATGTATAGTTGAGAGTACTAAAGTCATTTTATCACTTCTGTTTACGGTGTTAATTGTGCATATCGATCCAAAAACATAAACAGATAATGTGCTAATTTTTAAATTATAAGGGAGTTATGTGCGAAACACCTAAACCCAAGGAAATAAACTGAATTTTGTCCAAAATTCTATCGATAGGTAGGGTGAATACGCCGCCTAACAGTGACTATTGAACTAAGGAAAGGGCATAACATTTATGCGGCCCCACCCCTGCATCATAACATTAATGTGATCCCATCCGACATAACATTTATGTGGCCCCACGCTAGTCAACATTCACTCCGGTATTTAAGAAAATTACACTTAGATCCCTTAAACTATAAATCTCTTTTCACTGTATCCTACAAACTTCTCCACTTTTCACATTATATCTCACACTATTGTTGGAATGCGTATCACATTATGTTGATCGATGACTTTTTATTTTCAAGATAAATTATTCCAAAAATAAAATTCTACCATATTAAGGAGCAAATCAAGAAAAACTGCATCTCTTTATATTGTCAAATCTTATTTTTATCTTTATTTATTATGAAAAAATTAGATAAAATTAATAGATGGATTATATGAAACTCAATTCAATAGTTTCGATCGTAATGTAACAAAAAATAGATAGTTTAAGAAAAGATGTGAAATGAAGAACATAGTTCCAGAGGTATAAGTGCAATTTTTACATTGGGTTTTCAAATCAAACTCTAAAAAAATAACAATAATTTTATTTGAACTTAATTTATTAATTTAAAAAATTTATATTTGTTTATGTATTAAAATTTGTGTCCATTAAAATTTTATTCAAGTTAATTAAAATTTATTTTTTTTATGTATTAAAATTTGAACCGATTAAAATTCTATTTGAGCTAATTAAAAATTATTTTTAATTGACTCAAATCAAATTTTAATCTACTCGCATTGAATTTTAATCGATCTAAATTTTAATACGTAAAAAAATATAAATTTTAATTGACTCAAATTTTAATAAGTAAAAAAATATAAATTTTAATCAACTCAAAAACGAATTTTAATTAGCACTAACAATTCAAGTGGAGGTCAAATCGGCTCGAATTTTTAATATGTAAAAAAATAAATTTTAATAGACTCAAATTTTAATGCTTAAAAATAAAATAAAATTTAACCAGGTCGGCTCAAATTTTAATTTGTAGAAAAATAAATTTTATCAACTCGAATTTTAATATGCAGAAAAATAAATTTTAATCGGTTTAAATTTTAATAAAATTTTATATAGAAAAATTATTTAGAGTTTATGTCGAGGCATTTTTTGTATTTCAAAAGAATCTTTTTTTTGGTTAAAAATAGTGATTTAATGATAGAGAGTGTTAGTGATATTTAAATATAAATTAAAAAGAATATTAATAATATTTTTAATAATATAAAAAATGTCCTTAAAAATATAAAAATCAGGAGAAGAGTGACTCTAAAATTCTCAATATCATTACTCGATAAGTCTAAATAATATTATTGGTTTTCGAATTTCAAAAAACTCTTCCAGCTCGGAAAAACCACCACGTGTCTCCCTTGTTCACATCAAACCACAACACCTACAACCACATGGCTCAAGTACTCTTCCTTCAAAAACCGCCTCTCACCAGGACGCACCCCGCATCCCCACTCCCCAAGAACCCCTTTCTCTTCCCAACTCTCTCACACCATTTTAACCCCTCTCTATCAATCCCAAATCTCCACCCAACCTCCATCTGTTTCTCTCTCTCACACGCAAAAGAAAATGGCGAAGAAAACAACAATGGCTACCCTCTTCTCCGTTCTTGCCATATGGTCTTTCGCCAGCGTTCACTCTGCACACCATGCGGCACCAGCACCAGCCGTGGACTGCTCGAACCTGGTGTTGAACATGGCGGACTGTCTCTCCTTCGTTACCAGCGGTAGTACCGTGAATAAGCCTGAGGGAACTTGTTGTTCTGGGTTGAAGACGGTGCTGAAAACCGACGCAGAGTGTCTCTGTGAGGCTTTCAGAAACAGTGCTCAGTTGGGCGTCACTTTGAATGTCACCAAGGCTTTCAGTCTACCCTCTGCTTGTCATGTCTCTGCTCCTTCTGTTAGCAACTGTGGATGTGAGTGACTTCGTCTAATACTTGTCCTTCTCCTCTGGGATATCTTTATACATTTTGCTCCTTTTTGTTTCCCGAGAAAATTTTCTCATTGCGACTGCTTATCTTCCTTTTAAGGCTTTCATTACCCAGTTCTCTCTCTTTTTGTTTCTACACTGCTTCTGTTAGCTATTGTGGATGTGAGACCCTTTTGCAATTCCTTTTTTTTTTTTTGGTGGGGGTTCCTGATTTCTTTATTCTCCTGTTTATGTCCCGAGAAAATGATCTTACTGGGACTGCTCTGTTTTATCTCCATTGGAGGTCTTCCTTGCCCAGTTCTCTCTGTTTCTGGAGAAAATGTGTTTTTTTTTCTTTCTCAGAATAGTTTTCCGTCTTTTTAGGCTTTTATCTCCCTTGTTCTTTTGTTTCCATACTGCATGTTTCTCGAGAAAATGTTCTTCTCAGAAACCCTTTCTTTCTTTAAGCTTTTTTTTTTCTTGGCTCCGGTTGATAAGGTTTTTCTTACCCAGTTTCTCTGTTTGTTTCAGGAGAAAATTTTATTCGCAGAAACGATTTCCTTCTCATCAGGCTTTTATATTTGGCTCCTACTTTTGTATTATTTTGTCTTTTAGGTTTTTCTCGCATTTTTTTTGTTTGCTTTCCAAGGCAATTTGCTCTCTAGGATTACTCTTATTTCTCATTGAAGCTTTATTTTCTTGTCTAACAATTTCTCTGTAAAATTTTCTCCCATTCTCCCTAGGATTTTATCTGGCCACCTTTCCTCCGTTTCCCTGGTTTTCACTTCGTTTTTGGCCCTGTTTACTTGCTTACATTATCGCAATGTTTGATTATAGGAACTTTAGTTCGCTTTTCTCTGTTTAATTGCATTCTTGGCATGCTCTACTCTGTTTGTTTCTCGGGAAAAGTACTTTCCTGGAAAAGTTCGTGTTATATTATACCCATATGCATTGTTTTTTGAGTCTGAAAATTTACAAGATTTTTTTTTCCTTGTTTTTTTCTTTGGACAGTGAGTGTTGTTCCTGGTGCAGCTCCTGGTATGTAAATGAACTTATATTTGACCTGTTTCATACTCTGTTTATATTTGCTTTCTGCTTTGATTTAGTGTTAGTCATAAATTTTTAAATATGTTTATGCCTGTGGATTTGGATTTGGATTTGATCTTTTGATTCTTCATTACCTTGTTTCTTTTAAATCCTGATCTAACAAAGGAGAATGTTGTTATTATTATGCACCATGCATTAAGTGAGTGTGCCATTTATATATACTTTGGAGAAGAGCAATGGTATTAGGATCTAATTTACTGACTAATATGTTGACCTAATTCACTATGACCCTTAAATTAATTGTGGACTCCATCAAACGTTAGAACTTAGTGTTGATCCAATGGTTTCAATGAAACCAAATCATTATGTCAGTAAATTCGGCTAGATTTTTAGGTCAAAATAGGATTACTCTTTGGAGAAAAAAAAGTATTCGAGAGGATCTTAGTAATGTGATTGATAGAAACTAAATTATTTTATGCTATTAAAAATTGTTTTTGTTTCATATTTGTGTTTAAAGCCAATTTTTATATTGTTGGAGAAAGCCTCTAGGATGTCTTTTCGATTCTTCTCCAACTTGCCCCTCATCTTTTGGTCTAATTATTTGTTTTGCCATTTATGTATAAAGTATCACATTGGTTAATCAATAATCAACCATATGCTCTGGACACATTCACGTGGCTCTCTATTGCTGTTCTTCCCAAGTGTTTATGGTGAAATGGGTCATTTCATTTATAGCAAGCACTATAGCATGCAGGACTTGGGGCCAAGTGTTTGATTTTTGGATAATCCTACATGGATAAAAGAAGATAGAATATAGAATCAAGATATTGTGGCGACTGCCGACTTAGTAATTTTTTTTTTTTTTTGTTTCATTGTCGGTCTTACAGATCCAAATTATCCGACCATCGAATGAAGATCTATTTAGATATATGGTAATCAATTTGCCTAATGTAGGTGCTAATGTTTTGTTTGGTATAATGGAAAAGTGGAAGCATAAAAAATTGAAAGGATGAAAAGTTAGTAGGATATAGAAGATATCATGTTTGGCGAGGAAGAAAAATGAGAAAGCTGAAAAAGGAGAAATATTAGCCTTTCTTTAAACTTATCAAAATCTATCCCTCTAAAATTGGGAGAAAAGGGAGATGAACATTTAATGATGTGTGTTGAAATATATGTTATTTTCTTTTACACCCCTTAATATAGGCACATATACTATTTATCTATTATATATTATGTACACTCTAATTTTCTATATAGATACAATGGTAAAATATGTATCTATATTTTTTCTTTTCTTTCAATTTCTCATTCAAATCAAACACAAATTAATCCTTCCTTCTTTTTTTTCCCTCTTACCAAGCACAAAAAATGGAATGTATCATTTCTACTTTCATCTTTTCATCCCCGACCAAACACCCCATAACCCTTCAACTTTAGCCAATTTGTCTTTCTGCCAAGGAATGAACCATTGTTCACATATTTGATAATCAATGTGCCTCATATCGGTTCTTAGCTTTAATTAAGCAGGTTCCTTGCCCATTCAACTTAAGTTAATGAATTTAGCCCCCCTTCACCCACTCTCGTGTCAGGGAAAGCTAATTTTTTGTGTTTCTTGATTACAGAACGAGGCCTTTGGTAGGCCTAGATACGGGAATCCTCTCTTGTTGTAACTTGGACGAGACTTGAAAATTGTCCTTAATTAAATGGTTCCAAACTCATATATAGGAAGAAAAATGTGATTGTGATTACTTTATGAAATATAAGGTGGTTTAATTTGTGGCTTCAATTGTTGTTAAGTGTACCGGTTGAAACACTAATTGCTAATTGTATGCTGCAGCTCTTGCGCCGGTGACTGTGTCTCCAGGATCCACTGCTGCTGCTCCTACTGTTGTGGGAGCTAACGAGTTTGCTCCAGCTCCGGCCCCCGCAAGCTCAGGTGGTTCTGTGGTTGCCATTTCTGCTATTCTTACTCTAGTTGTTGCATCTCTCTCTTTGTTCTGAGATCATTTGTTAGTACGCCTTTTTAGAGATGAGGGAAAGAGCAAATGGGTGACCGTTGTGACGTTTGTTTTCTTAAATTTCATATTTGCGGTACTGTTATTACATATTACTAGGTTATTACATAATACATATTACTAGGTCTTTTTTGATGTGGGAGCTTGGGTATTAGATATATTTTCATTGAACCTGTTATGTATCTTGATTCTGCTATATTGATTGCCATTTCAGTTTTATATCAGTCTCTTTCTTGTAGTCTTATTTGGGTTTTGTCTCTTGGCTTTCTTTTGATCAATGTATTGGCCTCTGTCAACAGAATTTCTAAATATTGCTAGGGGCTTTAAGTAGGATTTGATAATCTGGTCGAGCTCAATTTGAATTCGGGTTGTTTTTTTAGACGAATCAAGTCGGAACTTTTTTTCAATGCAAAAAATAATAATATGCTCATACTTTTATCAAAACTTAATCCAAACATGATGGCGATGGGATAAGAAAAAATTGCACAACACTAATATGGATTGTATTGAAATAAAATTTTCAGTTACTTTTTATTCATTGTTATACCCGAATTAAACATTTGTTACCCAAGCAATCACTATCAACACTGCTCCCTCCCCTACCTACACGATCACATTTCCTCGATCCCTTTGCTGTTTTAATTTTGTGACCAGGAAATTGATTGGTCTTTTTTTCTGAACATAAAGCAAATGCAGCGAAAAATGTTTTTAGGGTTGCTGCTGTTGTTTGTTTGTTTGTTTTGTTTTTTTTCACGGTCAAAGTGTCGACTAATTTACGTCCAGGACGACTAATTCTCTCTTTAGTTTGTTAAAGACAGATTATTTACGTCGGGACTAAGATATTAATGAGAAATAAATTTTTTATAATTTAATTGTAAAAAGTAGTTAAGAATTAAACTTAGGACGTTGAGTTTATGTCTCATTTTTATTACNCAGAATTTCTAAATATTGCTAGGGGCTTTAAGTAGGATTTGATAATCTGGTCGAGCTATATTTGAGCTCAATTTGAATTCGGCTTGTTTTTTAGATGAATCAAGTCGGAACTTTTTTTCAATGCAAAAAATAATAATATGCTCGTACTTTTATCAAAACTTAATCCAAACATGATGGCGATGGGATAAGAAAAAATTGCACAACAGTAATATGGATTGTATTGAAATTAAATTTTCAGTTACTTTTTATCCATTGTTATACCCGAATTAAACATTTGTTACCCAAGCAATCACTATCAACACTGCTCCCTCCCCTACCTACACGATCACATTTCCTCGATCCCTTTGCTGTTTTAATTTTGTGACCAGGAAATTGATTGGTCTTTTTTTCTGAACATAAAGCAAATGCAGCGAAAAATGTTTTTAGGGTTGCTGCTGTTGTTTGTTTGTTTGTTTTGTTTTTTTTCACGGTCAAAGTGTCGACTAATTTACGTCCAGGACGACTAATTCTCTCTTTAGTTTGTTAAAGACAGATTATTTACGTCGGGACTAAGATATTAATGAGAAATAAATTTTTTATAATTTAATTGTAAAAAGTAGTTAAGAATTAAACTTAGGACGTTGAGTTTATGTCTCATTTTTATTACTATTTGAGCTATGCTAGGATTAAGGTTCTCTTTGGCAACTTGTGAACTGTCTTACCATTTTAAGTTGTGTCCAAGCTAATAGGGCAAATTATATTTTATACGCCGAAAAATTAAGTATTTTCACTTCATTTTAAATATTAAAATTTTAATATTACATCCTTGATGTATTAAAATCATTGTAATGTAATTTTTTTGTTAGTGATGGGGTCTCGGAAATTGCCGCCCAAGGCTAAAGTGTGGAATGTTATTCGCTTTAACGTTTTCGGTTAATTTGGGGAATGAGGTGTTTGCTAAAAGTGAGGACAAAAAGAAATAAGTGGTTCGCTTTAGTCGATAGATCAAGGTTACGTCAATTATAATTGACTCTCTTACTCCTTGTTGTGCATTGAGTTTCTGTTGAATATAGTCGAGTTACAAGCTTTGAGCCGTTTTTCGGGAGTGGGGGTTGTTCACAGAGTTTCTTTTTGGTTGGGAGAAGTTTCTCTTTTTCTGGTAAGACACTGTTCTTTATATATGAGTCATTTCTAAGGGTTCCTTGTGATATCTTCTACCTTTTCGTTGATCCTGTGAGGACCTCCTGTCCTTGTCCAGCAAAAGCCTTTCTCCGCCGTTCTCCTAGTGTCCACGATCTCTGGGACCTTAAGCTCCACCATCCTCTGTGTCCGGGAATACGTTGCACGTTTTAGAGATGGTCCCTTTGTCCCTCGGACGCATGGCATGGTGGGATTGTTTAGGTATGAACGGTCCGTTTCTTCCTTGGGCCATTATTAGGCTGGGGCTTGACTGGGTCTGGGTTGGGCCATTGTCTTTCTAATTCCCATTGGGTTTTACTCTGTTCTACTGGGCTAATCTAGGACATTCTTCTTGGGCTATGGGATTCTTTGGCCTGAAGTTGTGGCGGCCCATGCTCAAAATTCCACCCTTTTCAGTTTGCTTCCAATGTTCATTATGTCAAGACGTCAATATGATGATTTTTATTGGAATAAACAATTACAGATAGCGAAAATGTCACATTTCACACTTTGAATACATTAAGAGTGAAATATAAAAAAATTAATCTTTGAATATGCAAAATAAAATTTCTTAAATCTTTCAAGGTAGAAAATGTGATTCTCCCGAACCAATTATATGTCATTCAACAAGGCCAAGACTCTGCCCTTTTCACCCTTGATATGCTCTCCAGGCTCCCTCTGGTGACACGTGTCCCATCACAATCACCCTCTTGCTCTCCGGTAAGAATATCAATGGACTGAAGTGAGGGTGGAGATATAGTCTCCATTCTCATACCCGCTTAAAAAAACTCCTTCCATCCCTGGTATACCCCTGTTAACGGGTATTATTTTCAACCCTATCCCCGTCCGTGGATAAATTTTTAATTTCCGTCCCCGTTCTCACTTCCCTTGTACCCGTCCAATGGTTCAGTCCCATCCCGTATATTTTCTTATATATATATAGTTTCATGAAAATATATATATATACTTGAGGACAGTTTTATGGGTTTATATATATATACTAATAATAACCTGTGCCTGAAGGTACTAAGCAAGTCAAAAAACTTTGATCACCGGTTATGCAATATAAATATTTCAAAAATATTTTATTTTTTTATTATTTTCTTTAGTTACACAAATCAAAATTAATTTAAAAACATTATTTTAAAATTTTTTTTGACAAAACTTCTTTAAAAACATGACTCCTAAAAAATATCACATGTATACAATTTATATATTTAATCATTATATCTAAAAAATATCTTCTTTTTTTTTGTAGGAGTTGATATTGACATGTGTGTGTTGACGGGTGTATAGAGAGAGAGTTATATGATAGATGTGATAAATTTATGATAGGTGAGAATATGATATAGAGAGAGATTTGAGTATTAATGGGTATTAGATGTATTATGTTATTATTAGATATATATATAGTCGTCCAAGTCAAACTCTCAGAAGATAAAGTTATGAGAGATGAGAGTGTGAGTAAGAGAAACAGATGTAAAAGAAATAAAAATCTAATTAGGATCATATAGATATAGATAGATAGATAGATAGATATAGGATGACATATTTGGACAGAGCTACACAGGGGCGAGGGTGGACACAGGCCCATCCTCAATTTTTTTTTTAAATATGATATATATATATATATATATATATATATATATATATATATATATATATATATTCTAAAAGTTATACACACATATATATAATTATTTAGTCTTTTTTTATTATAATATGACTTTTTTCTGATGACTTTCATTTTATTATGAATTTTTGCAAGTGAAAGTGCTTTAAATTAATCTTCATTTGATTTTATTTTTTCTATGAAAAATTATTTTTTATTTTTATTCGAGTATTGATTATAGTCTTTATTATGTGCCAATTGATTTTTAATTTTTTACTATGTCTCTTAGATTTTAGTTTAATAGTTTTATTATACTAATATTTTAGTGATAATGTTTAAAACATCGTTTATTGAATAAATTTAATAGATTGTTAGTGAATAATTGATATTTTTTAATTATAAAAATGACAATTAGCTTCACATTTTACATTGGTGATAATTAGTCAATTTTTTATACATATTTAATATTTGGATAGGATGAATTTTGATAATATCTAAATCGTATATTTAAATTTCAATTAAATCTTAAATGTTCTTCTTTCTGTTTCTTTTAAATTTAGAGTATTAAATTTAATTTTAAAAATTTAAAATTGCCTCTATATTGTTAGTGTAGATAGATATATATAGATATACAACTGTCTAAGTCAAACTCTCCAATAGTTTAAATGAAGATGATGAGAGATAAAATGAATGTAATAGAGTCTTAGTCAATCTCTCCAATGTTTTGAATGGAGATGAGAAGAGATAAAAAGAATGTAGTTGAGTATTGTTAGAATATACATTAATTAGGATCGTCGGATCAATAATACTAAATCTATCTGAATCGTCTTTTATGTTGGGATTACGTTGTCTGTTGGATTTGTTTATATTTTGTCTCAAAACGATCTGAATTTCTCTTTGTCTTTTGGATTCAAACTCCGTTCTACTTTATTTATATATATATATATAAACTCATGAAACTATCTTCGAGTATATGTATATGAATATATACTTGATGACAGTTTTATGGGTTTATACATATATACTAGTTATTTGTCCGTGCCTGAAAACACTATGTTACTTATAAAATTTCAACACATAAAGATAGGATATATAAATAACTAGTCACAACCCGTGCCTGAAGGCACGATAAAATATAAAATTTGAGCGTCCAAAAAATTGATCTCATTATATCAATTTTTTTTACNCAAAAATCCGAGTTCACTCCCAAATTTCTTTTCCCTTTTGTTTCTCTATCCTTTCCCCTCAAGCATATGTAGATATCTAGTACCGTCAAAATTCGACACGACACGATTAACCAACACGAATCGATACGAATTAAACGGATTTGGATGAGATCTTAACGAATTTGGGTGATAAACGGGTTGACACGCCAAACACATTTAATAAACGGGTCATGTTCGGGTGAGAGNTAATCAAATATTAAATTATTAAATATATGATAGAAATGAGTAATGTAATATTTTTAGGGAATAAATATATACATGATTAAACATATGATATAAATAAGTGATGTGATTTGACGTTTGAGTCTGACAAAAGGATGATGGGTAAGATAAGTGATTGGTGGTAGTTTTGAGGGGAAAAATATGATTGGGATAAAATTCAAATACACTCATGTTTTATTATATAGATTTCAACACATAGCAATTATATTGGTTTTGAATATTTTTTGTTGGTTCAATTGATATCTTATTTTTTTTGTATTGGTCACTTATTATTATTTTTTTAATTGCTGATTAATTTGAGCTTTGAATTTTTTTTTTAATTTTCTGAGAACTATTGGTTTTCATATAGTAGTGATTTATTTTTGGTATAAATAATAACTTGATGATTTTATTTATAAATTATAAAGTCAATTTAAACTTCATTGATTGATAAGAAGTAAGAAGTAAATATCAACTATCGGTACTAAGATGCGTGATAAGAAAATCTACTTATACTGTACTCAAGGTATGAATCAGTTTGTAATAAAAAGGACGAAAAATTATATAGTAAGTATATAATGGTTTTTAATGAAATATTATACCAAAGGTTTTGAAAAAATCGATATACTAAATAACTTACATGTTCAAAAATAGTGACATTGTCCATTTGGGTACTGATTTTTGTGTTGTAGTGACGATATGTATGTAATTATTAGGATCAAATGTTAAACTGTCAAATTTTGAAAAAAAAATATTAAACTTAGAGATATTATATATTTTATGTGTGTTTAATAGAAATATTTTTAATTTTATGCAAAATTTTCTTGTAAAATTAGAAATTAAACAAAATCAACCTAAATCAAGGTACAAACAATACACTTTTAACAATTAGATCATTTAATTTAAAATGAATTCAATTTAAGTTGTTATTGTACTTTTTCAAATTTAAAATAGAGATGTATGAAAGATAGGAGTGTAGAGTTTTACGATAAGAGATTTCTTCATGGACAAGAAAAGAAATTCAGGACTAACTGTAAACCGTTAGATCAAAATTTTTGAGATGATCTGAACCGTCTTTTATGTTGGAATTTTGTTGTCCATTGGATGTGTTTATGTTTTGTTTCAAAACGATCTGGACCTCTCTTTATCTTTTGGATTCAAATTTCGTTCTACTTTATTATATATATAAATATATCAAAACCTCAAACTATCATAAAATCAAAACCTCAAAATTAAAAAGAATTCAATAACAAGGACAGTTTCATGGGTTTAGATGAATATATATATATATATATATATATAATGGGTAACAGGGGCTGGGCGAGGGTAAAGGTAAATCCATCCCCACCTTCATCCTCGTGCGGATTTATACGAGTATTCAAATATATATCCACCGTCCAATACGTATAATCCATCCCCGATCCAAATAGAGCAAGTTTGGACAAATACCTATTTTTCTCCGGTCCACTGTCATCCCCATTCTCCAGGTCTATACTGAATGATATCACCCCCGAAACAATAGGAAAATTTTACGGTACTAAATTTTTTTTTATACCAGCTTATTTTTTATAGGTAAAATTATAATTTTAAAAAAAAATTATAACAGCTCAAAGAAAGGCTATGATGTGACACCCATAATCCATGAAAATTTCTGTATTAATCATAACTTTCAATGATCAAACATATTCTTTAAAGTTGTAACATACACCTTAAAAAAAATTACAACTTTACTTTAAAAAATTATAATTTTTGGTATAATAAACATGTCCTTGCTTTGAATATAAAATAAGAAAAAATTTTGACGTCTGAAATTACATGCCTTGTGCAGTCAGTTGATAGGGTAACGAGAAAAAAACTATTTAGACCAAAGCTTCCAAAAGGCTAGTTTTTATCCATAAGCATTCGAAGGCAGCACAAGAGACAAGCACGGAGTGAAAATAATTGAAAAAAATTATACTTTAATACCCTCAATTATAGTCTCCATCTCACATTGCCCCTTAAAACTAGCCTATTTTTTGCATTGCAACTATGTTTATTTCTTTTTTTCACGTTCCCACAATTAATGTCTATGATAAATTTGACAAGGTGGCTACTTATGTACGTACGTACTAGGTAATTATTCCCTGGCTAACTGCCTTTCACAACAAATATAACTAATCCACGTTAAAACAAGCAACATATCGAATAGACCTTTCTTTCTAGTCATAACCCCCCCAATAATGAATTGTCGTTAATCCAGTAGTTCCAATAACACAAGAAGCAATTCAAAGAGCAACAGTTTGAAATACTTTCTATCTTCCTCTGTTTTTTTAACAGTCTTTCATTCCTATCACCGGATAATGAACCAAGCTTTACTGCACCAGCTAGCCTTTTATCTTACTTTCCCTTCCGTACTAAATGAGTTCGTTTCACTTTTTCCCTACAAGTGGATATTTGTTGCTCTAGAACGTAAAACCAACTCAAGCAATTGATTGGATAATGCAACAATTTAATAGTTCAAGGGTTAACTTGAGATCAAAGTCAAGAATGAGGGTGTGAAAATGTAATTGATGAGAATTTTAGCCTCTCAAACAAACCCATTTTGCCCCGTAGTGCACAATTAAGAGAAATGAAAGGAACCTCAAATGGTATCCCAAATCAACGGGACCCTTGGATTAGTGGATTTTGTTAACTTTTTTTAACGGGATTCATTCATGTAGGAGTCTACTCATTTGAGATCCCAATTTGGTATACAAGGTATTTCTTCACAATTAAAGTGGTCTCATATATGTAAACAAGGATTGATATCCTCTCGATTACACTTTTTTTAATTTTACTTAATAGTAGATCATCAACCATGTATGAATGAGTAGCTCACTTGTAAATGGTGGGTCTCATGTGTATTCATGATAAATGATCTAGTATTGAGTAAAAGTGTAATAGAGATGTTATCAATACGTGTAAACAATGCAATTGTTTCCACTTTCCATTTGAAAGTAGCTTCCATCTTAGATAAATGTTTCTTAACTTTACCTGCACAAACTTGGCAATGAAGAGAAACTCTCACAAAAACCAACTGCATCCACAGACAAATGACTTAAACATTGCTCTAACCACTGTATATTTAGTAGAAGAAATTCTGACACATGGGAACAAAATTTCGTTTTAGCAATAAAAAAAAGAGGAAGTTCGAGCCTCTCCCACTATTAAAGTTTCTACTGTAATCTTCTAAAGTGGTAGCTGTGATGAAGACATGGAGGATAACTACTCGACAGAAAGTTTCAACTCGAGAAAAGTTAAGACAACCAAGTTACCTGAAAGGAGCATCACCAAAATAGGCAGTCATACCCTTTAAACTGCTCTGCACGTAATTTTCTTCAATCTGCATGCGTCTAACCAGCTTTAGCATGTAAAGGACTTCAAGAATGATGGCATGTATTCAGCATTTCATGCTAATGTATCAACCAGTAGAAAAAATACCTCAACATGTAGAGGAGGAGAAGACAGCCAAGAAAGTTCTTCCACTTCACGTTGGTCTACATTTTTAGGTAAGAACATAATGATGTTGGGGGTTATTGATTGAGCAATTTGAAACATTGAATACCTGCAGAGATGATGCAAATTTATTTCTGAATATAGAACACCACTCCAGGATTGGCAAGTCTATTTGCAGGTGCCGTATAATCCAGTAGCATTCAAAGTTTTTGAAGAAAAAACACTGTAACACTGCAAAATTCATTCAGTACACAAAGATGGCAGAAAATGCATAGTAGAACAAAAATCCTTCTTGCATTGAAATTCACTAGAGATTTCCAAGAAAGAGAAGTTAAAAAAAACAGCATTTAGTGCTTATTTGAACAACTAATTTTTTGAAACATCTCTTATACCCAGAGTTTCCTTTTGGTCAAGATTCAGGACACTAATTCTCCATGGCATAATTGGTTATGTCTAAGAGAAGTTTTCAGTGAGTTTAAGCATAATGGTTGGCAAGTCGGAATCATAATTGTGATTGACAATGCCAAGACCTTCCTAGGAAGTTGAATAGCCTGATGTACTGATACACTTTACCTAAGTTAATCTTTGCAGGCAACCCTATTTTGCCAGGCTGATCACTTGTAAGTCTGCCCAAATATAACAACAATTGGCTTAAAGTATACCCGGGCATGCTAGCTTAGGAAGGAAGATCCCTTGTATTTACCATGGTTCAAAATCACAGTATAAGTCATTAACTCAGAGGCCACTGAGATGTATTGGTCGGGGCATCACGGAACGATATCAAATGATACACTACGTAGTAGAAGAAGCTGAAGACCACAAGAGATTCAGATCATATCACAGCTGTTTCTTATTAAATGCAGTTCATAAAGTAATAAGCATGATCAGCAGCACATACCCATCCTTTGGCTTCAGTAGGTCAAGGGTAAAATTCCCAACTGAACTATATGATGGACCCCCCCATGGTGGTGAAAGGAATACTACATTACCCTAACAAAATGTACACCATTACAGATTTAGAAGGAAAGAATAACAGTAATCAAAATATAAGCAAGAAAATCAGAGAACATAGATAATTTCAATAGGAAATCCGACAGAAACATCAGCCTTGTTTTCCACTGGCACCTGCAGTCAGTTACACATTATTGTCTTCAAAAATTTTAGTTTAACAAAGTTCTAGGAATCCTTCAGAGGCTGTAATTTCCTGGTGGAAAGCAACCTGTCTCNAAATTTTAGTTTAACAAAGTTCTAGGAATCCTTCAGAGGCTGTAATTTCCTGGTGGAAAGCAACCTGTCTCAGATAAGATTTCAGTTTTAAGGGGGGAAATTTGCACTTGTAAACACCGGCAAGTTAAAAACTAAAATTCCAAGCTCAACATTTGATTCAGAGAAATAGTGTTAAATCACACACAGGTAGAAGTCTATAGCGTCGTCTAAAGTCCTTGGCCTCAACGCATTAATAAATAAAAGCCTCTCAATAAAGTAGGCAAATTTCACCTTCTGGTTTTGTCAGGTTACTCAGAGATTTTCCCCATTTTGTTTATCAGACAAGAGGCCAACGTGCACTAGCAAGTCATCCACAGCTTGTGATATGGTTAGCCAAATATTCCAGAAATGGGCATCAAACTTCAAAATTATTTGCACTCTTCAAAATGCAAACTTGATTCAACTGGGAAGATTCAAGTGTTTCAATTCTCTTCCAATTAACAACTCCTAAAATATAGACCAAATGCCCTGATGAGTACTTGGCATACTACTGAAAGTAGAGTAAGAATGTGGAAATTCAATTGTCGAGGAAGCAATATATTATTTTCAAGTTGTCTAAAGTGTAGTCAATGACTCAATGCAATCTTTAAAAACTTGATGTCACTAAGGTTGCCAGAAAGGCCAAAACCCATGGCCAATCCTGACATCAACTTTTCAAAATATTGGCAACCAAGTTAAGCACTTTATGGAAATGAAGTAAAGCAATCTAAATGACCGAGCAACTCTGTGCATCAGACTGCCAGTTATAAACTACCCTGCATACCATTATCTTCTGATTAACTCAATCAAGTGACAATTTGGAAGCACCGAAGCAGACTTCATATTGGTATTATTCTGAAAATTGGACACAACTGAAGAAAAGGAATAACATTACCTTCAGATATGGTGCAAGTTGGAAGAAGTCTCCCACAACAAAGTCTATATAATCTTCCACGCCATATATTTTTGCATTATTAGAAGCCATTGCAACTTTATGTGGATCAATGTCAATAGCAACAACGTGTTGAGATCTAGGAATGAGAAAAAAAAAGAATTTAGACAACCGCATTTTCAAGAAATATTAATACTCAACAAATAGAAACAAAACAAAATGTTGAACAGAATTTAAATCTGAATACCAAAACGAATATCTACTCATGTATTACATGCATGCATACAGATATCTACATAGAAATATGTGTGTGCTTTACATGTGCGAACAATGTTTGTGTCATCGGAAATGGATAATTTTCTTTGAATTTTTCCATTAAAAATGCAACGCAACAGACTTAGTGCAACCCACAACACAATTTTATGCAAGTGAAAGGAAAAAGGAAAGAAAAAGTGAACTCACAAGGATAAATTTACACATACAATCAGGACACATATACGGCACTTATTTCACCTATTTAGTGTAAAGGGCAGTCAAGTAGGTTCATGTATTTCTGTAATGCATTATTTGAATCTAAACCCAGAGAATATCTCCGAGCAAAGATTCACTTCACAGCATGAAGGCCCAACACAAAGCAAGGTTACAGTGCAGAATGACCTTCAAAGATCTATGGTTCATCGTTCGGGCTTCAAACACTGCACACCATGAGGCTAAAATAAGACTGATAAATGTCTGATCTACAGAGATTTAAGCAGCTAAATCAGAAAGAACACACTCCACATAACATGTTGAAATAGATTTCAAATAGAGCCCCCTCCCTAAACACATACACAGACAAAAAAAAGGAAGTATTTGAACTAAGTTGTTAATGGATTGGCCAGAAAAAAGGGCCTTATTATGAAATTTTAGGCTGTGACATACATGGTACAACCTATGATTCAGCACTTATATTTCTACCAGGAATCAACACGGAAGCAAAATCAGAAGCAATCACAACATTAAATATGGCTGAAATTTGCAGTATGCAGCTAACCAACAGAAGGAAATGGCAGAAAAGGTCGTCTATGACATGTGTATATCCAACATATGCACACTTTGGCTTCTCTTCACTGCAATAAAATTCATTTTTTCCGTTTCACTATTACCTTTACTTCCTTGCATTGCAATAAAATTCATGTTTATTCATTATAAAAAACAAGACTATGTTAAACCTCTATCCCCTAAACCAAAATAAGCATCACCCATGATTTTGGGCCATTCCCACATTGGTTAAGTATGGACAGAGAAGTATATATAATAAACACTTAGGCACTCTTTCCTCGCTAGCAAGTGTTCAAGGGTAAATTGTCTACATGAAGCCAGCAATTGGTATTAGAGCCTGCCACACGTTTGGGCCTGTCACTTTTATTGGATGGTGACACCACGGGTCAATGATGACGTGGTGTCACCGATACACTCAATATTTTTTCCAAAGGAAGGGTACCTTACGGTTTTTAAGGGGGAGTTCTCCCATGGGTTCACAGCAGATTTGGACATTGGCAAGAACTGTGAACTAGTGTAAGATATAAAACTCACCAAGTAAAGATACAAGCGTCCAACCTAAAGATAACACATTACCCAAATCCTTGAAATGGAAATTAAATCACACAATCTCTAAAATTTATCAAACACTTACACCGAGGCAAATTGTATGGCATTACCACCGACGCCGGCAAAGCAATCAATGACTACACCGCCACCACTCCGCTCGGCGTGCCGGACCGCAATCTCTTCCGGTGTAACGGAAAACCACCCTTCTTCGTCCAATTTGATACCCTTATCGTATCTCGAGAAAAGATCATACCTTTGCAACCAATACCTGTCAACAAGTGGAGTAACCCCTTCTTCTTCCTCTAATTTAGCTTTCTTTTTCGCCTTAATTTTCACTAATATGACAAAAACAAAAGTAAGATAACATATATACACAAAAAATGCATATAAAAAATCGTTTCAAAGAGCTTGAATGTCCGTGTAATGTGATCAGTACCTAGGCGTTTCAAGAGAGTGCAATGTTTCTTCGAGCGCCGACGACTCTTGCGAGGCATTGAAGCTTCAGAATCGATGAATCAAACTTTTTTCTTCAGCGCTTCAGATTCTCTCTCTCTGTCTCTCGTGCTATGACTTATGTGTACCGTTTGATAAATATTTAAAGGGCCCGTTTGAAATCAAGGGAGGACCCACATTTTTCTGAATTTAAAATTTGCCAACTTAGTTTGAGTCAACGAAAAGAAAATAAATTGGGCTTGAGTCTCAAAAAAAAAAAATTGTTTCAGAAAATAGCTTTTGGAAAAAATTTTAGAAAAGTATTTTTGATTTTTTTTGAGATAAAAATTTATTTGATTATATAATTTCAAAAATAATTATACATAACAAAAAAATAGTAAAATTTATTTAGACAGTTTAAATATATATATATATATATATATATATATAGACAATAATTCAAAAAAAAATAAAAAAAAATTATTTTTAGATGGACAGTTTATAAATTAAACTTTAAAATAATAAATTAAACTTTAAAATAAATCAAACAGATTAATCGATCTTCAATTTATAACAGATTTATTATCAATTTATACATAAAATCAATCAACCGAACAACAATAAATCTTTTTGAACCAAAAAATGTCAGACACCAATAACATAATCAATATCGATGAACGAAAAAATAGGAGATTTAAAGCCCTTTGGTTTATATATATATATATATATATAACTCGAGATCTGAACCATGAGATATCTGAAACAATATAGAACCCCTTGATTTATATTGGTTCAGATCTCAAGTTATATATATATATATATATATCAAGGGGATCTGTATTGGTTCAGATCTCAGGGCTCTATATTGGTTCAGATCTCA